TTGCAAGGCAACATTCGAAGCGTCATCGAGGGACTATGATCTTGTATTTTTTTTATTGTTTTTACTAAGACGTCTCACATGCATAACATGACCATTTTTCATAAGGCAACAAGTAGAGTTAACCCTAGAGGTGCAAGTGTGTAAGTGTTTGTATTTCATGCTTGATTTATCTTGAATTAGGGCTTTCTAAGTGTTGATTTTATCTTTCCATACAAAACCTAATTACTAGCATTTATATGAAAGCTTTAAATTGCGGAAAGTAAATATCCTACGCTATTACAATCACTTGGGGATAAGGTGTACAAATTTACAAATGGGGGTTGCAAGAAATTAAAATCCTAATTATCTATTACAACCATATTGAAATAATGTACAAGAATTGAAATGTAAAATATATTCGTTTTGTTTTTATTAAGAGAAGAAATAAATTTGCTTAAGGAAATGTTTTTAGTCTTTTTGTTTTAAAAGAAATAAAGCAAAGTATATGAATATAAAGTATTTTTGATGTTTTTGATTAGTGAAAATAAAAGTGATGATAAAAATAGTAAGAGAATAAGATTAGAGTCAGCGTGTTGCCGAAAGAATAGAAATAAGAGAGAGCAGAAGTTCTGACCCAGGCGCGCTACAAATCAGAAAGAAAATGTTAATAGAAATGGGGAAAGCCAAAAGTTCTGGATCCAGACGCGCTAAATTTTTGGGGTTGCTGGAAACAAAGGAAAACCCATAAGTTCTGATTATTGAGAGAGCCTAGAAGTTCTAGTGCAGCTGGAAACCTAGAAGTTCTAGTGTTACTGGAAGGCTAGAAGTTCTGTTAATGGGTAAGTGAGGTGACGATGTTGTTGGATGAGAATATCTAGAAGTTCTGGTCCAGGAGTACAGTTTTGACAAACAAATGGGGGGGGGGGGGGGGGGGGGGTTATCTAGAAGTTTTGGTCCATGATTATTGTTTGACAAATAATGGGGTAAAAATGTTAAGAAATAAACATAAAAGATGTTTCTGGGGCTAGAACCCCGGACCCTTAACACTAATGCCTTATGCGCGCGCTCTCTACCACTGGGGTGGCTATACATCTGGTATTAGAAGAAAAAATATAAACATATATTACAAAGTAAGTTCTGATGATGAACTTCATCTTCTTCTTCGCGCCAACCAGAGTATCTGCAACTTAGTCATTTCTCAATAAAAATGGAAAATGCAAACATAGAAGTTATGGCAAATTTCATCATGGTTTCAGAAATAAAAAGCATCAAGACTGTAAACTAGAAGCAAGCATGAATTTTGCTAATCCTAACTTTGAACCCTAATTTTCTCAAGAAGTTCTGATATGAATTTCTCTCTACTTAAGCCATATGAATGAAATATATAAATCTGTACATACTCATAGCCATGATATCTACATTGTATCTTTGAAATTGCAAGCCTAACAATGCCTAAGTAATGAGATAAAAATCAGAAGAAACTTACCTTGCAGCTGGGAATTGTTCTATGAGTTAGAGCTTGGTTCAGATTACTGTGATATTCTGGTCAACTTCCTCAAGTTCTCAGAAAGCTAAAGCAACCCTTAACTTGAGTTATGGATGGTTGGAATGCTCTGGAGCAGTCAAGATGCAAAGTTTTGATTTTTGAAATGGAGATTGGTGAAGACTGTATTACAGTTTGAAAACAGAAGTTGGGAAAGCTTCTATGTGTATACCAGAAACTGTGTGGATGATTTGGCCAAGAAACACACAAGGAAAATTAGAGTTTGGATTCAAAAATCAGGAACTAGCAGGTTTTGTGTTTGTGTTGTAGTTTCAGGTTCTTGGGAATTTTCAGCAAGGTTTCAGGGATTTTTTTAAATCCCCCTTCAGTTTGAAAATAAAGTTCAATTTATAGGCCAAGGATTTAGAAGCTTGGAGAAGTCAAGAGTACAACCATCATGTGTTATGGATCGTTGACTTGTTTTTGAAGCAAGTTTAGACAGGCATGGTTTCAAGGCAAGGTAGGGTGGTTAGCAGATTTAAACACGCCTAATCTGAGTTTGTAGGCATGATTTATGGGGAAGTACACTCAGAAACAAAGTAAAGTATGGGCTCAAAATAAACTTTGTACAAAAGTTTGCTTTTCAAGGACAATAGTGGTACTTTTATGCCACACGTGGGAAGATCCTTTGGATAAAGGCTTAGACACTGAGATAAGGAATCAAAAGTTGGTTTAAGCATTAAATTATGATGAGATTTAACAAGCAAGAAGGCCCGTAACATGAGTTTATGCAACATAGCTTGAAACTGGATCAGAACTTCAGCATAAACGTAACTTATATTAAGAACAAATGTCTAACTTCTGATCTTTGATTCTCCCTGCTCCAACATTATCTGAAGGAGTTCTCAGACTTTTCAGAATTCTTGTAACATGCTTTGTAACCCCTCTTTGAATCATTTTTGCAAACTCTGATTGTACCTATGTGAAAACTGGCCCAGAAGTTCTAATCAAATTCTGACTTGGAAATGCTCAGAATTTACTAAGTGTTTCAGTTTCATGGACGTATCTTCAAGGGTTTATAACTTGAAATCTCAGCATTTCTAGAAGGAGTTCTGTTCTGTAATGTTTTAGATCTCATTGAGATCTACAACTCTTGTGTCAGAAGTTCTTCCTGAATCATCTTGCATCATGATGAAAATCTGGCCAAAAGTTCTGAACTTATCATACTTTCTTAACACTTAGAAAAATTTCTAAGTGTTTAGAACTTTGACTTTTCCAAAGTAATTTTGACTTTTGATTTTCTTGATGAACCAACTTCATATTCTAACATGTCTTGATGAAATGTGATTCTTGAAACTGGATTTTGATCAAGAAGACAAAGTTTGACTTTTCAGTGTGCATTTTGACCATTTTGCCCTTGTGCCAATTCCAAACCTAAATTGATGTATCAGTGTTGCAAACTTGAGTCATGGAAGATCTTGTGAGAAAATTCTTGAGAAATAAGAGGGAAAGTTTTTGGGTACAACACACATGAATTGCGTTTAAACAAGTTCAAGAAGCAGCCTGTACCAGACCTTGTTTCTCTCAATCTCATACATGTTTCCCCTCAATCTCCTGCACCTGATACTGCTCAATCTGGCAGTACTAATTCCACTCCCACAAATCCCACTGAACCTGATTACTCCAGTTTCAGAGGTGGAAGAACACATAGAGGGTGGCGTGGAAGTAAATGCAGAGGTAGAAGGAAATCTAATATCCAATGCCAAGTGTGCTCTAAAGTTGAACACTCAGCACTCAACTGTTGGCATAGGTTTAATCAACAATTTCTGCCTCACTCTTATAATGGCAATCCTTATTCTGCAGCTCCTTGGTCTGGTTCTCAAGCATCTTATGGTCAGTTTCCACTCAATGTGTGGATAAGACTAGTAGCTCCCGAAGTCATGCCTGCAGTTCCTTTTGCTCCTCCCAACACCTCCATTTCCAACACTGCACCTTCTACCTCAGCTGCTTCCTGGTATCCAGACTCAGGTGCTTCATTTCATGTTACAAATGATGCTAACAATCTTAAGCAAATTACACCATTTAAGGGTCATGAACAAATATACATAGGAAATGGGCAAGATATAGCCATAAATTCAGCTGGTTCCAGTCATTTTTACTCTTCTTATCACCCTCACACACCTCTCACACTTAAAAATCTCTTGCATGTTCCATCACTAAGAATCTAATCAGTGTCAGTCAGTTTTGTCGTGACAATCATGTTTATTTTCTTTTCACAGCTGATTCTTGCCTTGTGAAATCTCAGGTGTCTAATGTTATCATTCTGGATGGTAAAGTTGGCTCAGATGGCCTCTACGAGTTTCCTCTGCTTGATGTTTCCAAGTCTACATTTTCAAAAAATAAACGTGTACCTAGTTTTAATGCAACTAGTATTTCCCCTGCTTTGTCCAATGTATGGAACTTAAGACTAGACCGCCCTAATATTCACACTCTAAAACTAGTGTTGCAAAGCTGTAACATTCCATTCAATAATAAAGTTCATGAATATTTTTGTTCATCTTGTTGTGTTGGTAAAGCTCATAGATTGCATTCACCATCTTCATACAACACTTACGATTATCCTCTTGAACTTGTCCATTGTCATCTTTAGGGCCTTCCCCTTAACCCTCCACTCAAGGGTTTAATTATTACATGTATTTTGTTGATGCCTTATCCAAGTTTACTTGGATTTATTTACTGAAGTCCTAAGCTGAAGCTCTAAACACATTTAAACAGTTCAAAGCTCTAGTTGAACTGCAACTAGGGCATCAAATTAAGGTTGTACAATCATATTGGGGTGGCGAGTTCAGACCATTCAGCAAGTTCCTCAATGACATGGGTATATGCACAAAGTCATATGTCCTCACACACATCACCAAAATGGGGAGTCATATGACCTTGCTAGCCATACTGTCCAACTTCTACAAAGTCTCATTCACATTCTGATTCACAGTCTCTATTGCCCACATCTGACTTGCCAAAACCTGTGGCTATTACAGTTTTTCCCTTCTCTCCCGCACCTAATGTTGTTTCCTCTAGCTCCCCCACACCATCTGAGTCTCATGGTTTGTCAAATCATCCAGGTGCTTCAAGTAACACTACTATAAAACCTGCTTCACCATCTTCTTCCTCTGAGCACACTTCTATGAGTGCTTCTCCACAACCTCTTGCATCAACTTCTTCATTTGATGTAGCCTCAGAGTCCTCGGATTTTGTTCCTCCCAATGTTGTACTTATTTCTCACAAGCCTATTAATCACCACTCTATGGAAACTAGAGCTAAATCTAGCTTTGCTCAACCAAGGCTGCAACCTAAGTTGTTACTCACCCATACTGAACCCAAAACTATTAAACAGGATCTTGCAGATGCCAACTGGAAATGAGCTATGCAGACAAAATTTGATGCTCTATGCACAAACTAGACTTGGTCACTTGTTCCTCTCACGCAAACATACAACCCATTGGGTGCAATTGGTTTTTTCGCATCAAAGAGAATCCAGATGGCACTGTTAGCAGGTATAAGGCACGCCTGGTTGCTAAGGGCTTCCATCAGAAGCAGAGCTTTGATTTTAATGAGACATTCTCTCCAATTGTTAAGCCAATTACCATCAGGATTATTCTCACTATTGCTCTCACTTAAAAATGGTCCATCCAGCAACTTGATGTTAACAATGCCTTTTTAAATGGCTTGTTAACTGAAGAAGTATATATGGAACAACCTCCTGGATTTATTGCATCAATCCCTCTCTTGTTTGCAAATTGCACAAAGCCATATATGGCCTAAAGCACGCTCCTAGGCAGTGGTTTGAAAGATTGCAGTCCGCTCTTCTCAAACTCAAATTTAAACCCAACAAGTTTGATCCTTCACTCTTCATATTTGCTTCAAATGGCCATACTATCTACCTCCTAGTTTATGTTGGTGATATAATCCTCACTGACAGTAATTCCTCCCTTCTGATGGATATTATTGCTAAACTTAACTGTGCATTTTCTCTCAAACACCTTGGTAACTTGGATTATTTTCTTGGTATTGAGGTGAATACCACTACTCAAGGTTCCATGGTATCAACTCAAACCAAGTATATTCGTGATCTGCTGCACAAAACCAATATGACTGACTCCAGTCCTGTTAATTCCCCCATGCAATCCACTTGCAATCTCACCAAAAGTGGCTCCCCTACCTTAACTGATCCATTCATGTACAAGTCCACTGTTGGGGCGCTTCAATATGCCACTATCACTAGACCTGACATAGCCTATACTGTCAACAAGGTCTGTCAATTCATGTGTCACCCTCTGGAAACTCATTGGGTTGCAGTAAAAAGGATTCTCAGGTACCTTAAAGGTACCATTCAACAAAGACTGCATCGGAATCCTCACTCACCTGCTTAACTGCCTTCTTTCTGAGTGTTTTGTGATGCTGACTGGGCCTCAGACCCAGATGACAGGAGAAGCACTTATGGTGCTGCCATATATTTTGGGGGTAACTTGGTATCTTGGTGGTCCAAGAAATAACAATTTGTTGCTAGATCCAGCACAGAAGCTGAGTACAGAAGTCTGGCTCAAGCCACAACAGACCTTCTTTAGCTTCAAACTCTCCTGCATGAACTGTGTATTCCTACTCAGCAACCTATTGTTCTTTGTGACAATTAGTCTGCGGTTCTGCTGGCTCACAATCTCATAATGCATTCCAGGACTAAGCATATGGAGATTGACCTCTTCTTTGTTAGGGAAACAGTTTTAGCCAATCATATTACTGTTGCTCATATTCCTGGTGTTGATCAAATAGCAGATGTTCTCACCAAGCGCCTTTGTTCAACTAAATTTCTTAAGCTAAGATACAAACTCGGAAATGCTAACTCCCCACGAGTCTGTGGGTATTAGAGTAACACTCATAGTGTAAAATTATTCTCTTTGTAAGCCTTTTCTATTACAGGTCACACCACAGTTTGCACCTATATAAGCAAACTGTGATTTCTCTTTGTAACTAACTTTTCATAAATCCAAATTCAGTTAAACTGAAAATGAAAGTTCTGTTATTGGTTTATATTAGATACTAATCAGTTACACGCATCAGTAGTTGAATTATATTGTCATGAAGGAGCAGAGATTAAATATCTGACAAAACAAGATTGGTATGCCGGTGACGAGCATGGGAGAGGTGGGATATATAACTTTGTCACCAAGAGGGGACTCTGTTGGGTCAGATCAAAGATATCTTTGACACAGGTGAAAATAGGACCAACAATTACATGGAAGTATCCAAGTGTTGTTCTAGAGGGTGATGAATCCTTAGGAGAGTTTCATTCGGTAGCACTAACTAATAACTATCAACAGGCAGATACACGGACAAAGATGTTACTCAAGGGAAAGTATACTAGGAGTATAATCATATCTAAAGGTATTTCTTCTGCGTATTCAAGAAATTGTTATGGAGGACTTGTGCAGGTGATGTTAGGTGCAGACAGAGCTAAAAGCTCCTCACAGTGCGATTCCATGCTCGTAGAAGATACTGCAGCTACAAATACCAACCCATACATTCAGGTAGTTACTTTTTGAAAATGTTGTATTCATTTTTTGTAATTTTGTTTACATCCTCTTGTCAAAAGTGGACAATCATTTAAGAACGGAGGGAGTACTTTAGAAATATGATATCTAGGATTTTAATTATTGTGTCAACGGTGAACTGTGGTGGACATACAATTGCATTATTGAATAATGCTTGAAATTTAATGCCTTGCTTGTGTTTATTCTTCACAGTCTAAGAATCCTTCTGCTCAGATTGAACATGAAGCTACAACATTGAAAATTGGTGAAGATCAGTTGTTTTACTTTCAACAGAGAGGAATCGACTATGAGAATGCCATGTTGGTTATGATAGTTGGATTATGTAGAGATGTAGTCGATGATCTTCCATATGAACTTGCTTCTGAAATAAAACAATTATTGAGCTTGAAACTAAAAGGATCTGTTGGTTAGGTTCCATAGATGTTGGAGGCCTGGAACCTTAGTGCAGGGAAAAGGACAAATAAATTATCAACAAATATGAACTTAATTCTCTCCAAGTTATAATAGGACAAATTATTTTGAATGTTTTTATACAAATTTAGGTGTTAATTAAGATGATTGGACCAACGTTCTAAACTAAAAGTATTTGCCAACAGTGGCTATGGTCACAATTGAAAAATACAAACAAGTTGTGTATGTATGTCTTCCAGATATCAATATCCTTGAAATGTGCATAACTATAGTCTCGAAGTTGCAAACTCCCAATCCATGTGTGCAGAGTCGTGGCTAGATAGTAAAATATGCATGTTACTGTATGTGTGCAATAAAGTTTCTCAATTCTGGTGAAGAGATACTTACTTCCTATATCCTTCTCCAACTTATGGAAGGGGTTATGAAGTTTTTGCTGATGAATCATCCATTAGATTGCCCAATTTGTGATCAAGGAGGAGAATGTGATCAAAGTTATTGGTTCTGGCTGTGGACGTTTTTCTGAGATGAAGAGATTTGTGGCCCTCTATGAATACTGTGATAACTCGGTGCGTACAATGTACAAGGTACTAAAAAGCTCCACTTTGATTACTTTCACTACAAAGACTGTGCCTTTTTATACCTGTAATTTTTTTGTACTTTATCCCAATTATTCTTAAACTTCATTCTCTTCTTAATGATTTGTTGATAATTAATTATCTGGACTGAAACTTTACTTAATTGTTATCTTTTTATAGTTTTATGTTGCCACCTTTTGATGTATTGATCTTGGTTTCCAACTTATCCTTTATGGTCTCTTTTTATAACATCTTAGCTCACTATATCATTTCTTCATTTTCATAGAATTAACTACTTATTCTCTTGTACCCCCTTAAGAGTCTAATTGGAAATTAGATGAATTTACTTTCTTCTCACATCAATTATTTTTCCTGGCAAATTGTCTGATGCAAAGTCAATTGTTTTATATTTTATCGCAATTGTTGAGGATAGCAAGAGTCGCCACCGATTTTTTCTTTTATCCAATAAGGAAAGAGTGAAAAGAACAGGAAAGACCTTTTAAGAATTTTCTTGAGTTCGGGGATAGTTTATGAAAAGGGAAGGTGTTAGCACCCTTTTAATCCGTAGTTATCTACGGGCTCTTAGTTGCTAGCTCACTTTGAAAATGCTTTTGTGAATGTGTTTGTTTGAAAATATTTTGAAAAGTGTCTTTGTTTAGGCAAACTTTGTAATAATTCTCGTCTCTATAAGAATGTATATAAATTATTTACTTTGAAAATATTTCATGAAAGTGTTTGTGTGTTTGAAAGATGTTTGTTTTGAAATGTTTGTGAGCAAGCAACTACGAACGTTCTACCTACTCAAAAGAAATTCTTTATTCTTTTCCTCTTCCCTTAGACAATGTTATCTTACCATTAGTTCGTAAGAAACTTTATTATTGAATGTGAAGGGACGGACGTGGGTCATCGTATAGTCATATAAGGCAACTTGTAGGACACTTTAGCAATTTGTCGTAAGGGACTAAGATCATTTACCGAAGGCAACATTGAAGGGTCATCGAGGTACTACGATCTTTTACTCGAGGGTCTTTGCTAAAACATCTCACGTTCGAGGGACATGACTATTTTAATCTAAGGCAACAAATGTTAGTTAACCCTAGAGGTGAAAGTGTGAAAAGTGTGTTGATTTAATTTAAATTTTCTTGAATTAGGGTTATCTATTGTTTGATTTTAAGTCTTTCTATATAAACCCTAATTACTAGCAATAATAAGGAAAACGATAAATTGCAGAATTAAAAAAAAGTCCTACGCTATTATATCACTTTAGAGGGTGGAGGATACAAATTACAAATGGGAATGACAAGTAAATTAAACCCTATTTGCTATTACAAGGCTTTTACAATTACATAATTATAGTGCGAAATAGTAAAATGTATAAAAATGTGAAGATAATGTAGAGAGAAAAGAAATTTGTTTTCATGGTTTTTTGTATGAAAAAGGTTTTAAATTAATCTAATTAAATGGAAAAGAAATTAATTAGCTAAATTCCTAAAGTCTAATTTAATTAAATGAGAAAGTTAAAATAAAACCTAAGTCTAGATTAATTTACTTAAGAAAAGAAATTAATTTTTTAAGAAAATATTTTTTGGTCTTTTGTTTAAAGAAAATAAAATAAAGTGAAAATAAAATAACAATTTTTAGTCTAAGTATTTCAATAAAATATATTTTTGTATTTTCTAATTAAACAAAAATAATAAATAAAGAAAAGAAAACAAAATAAAAATAAAAAATATTTTATAAAAAAGTCAAGGGGTTTGAAAAGAAAACATGGATGTTTGATAGAAAAAACGTTTTTATTGATTTAGGCCCAAAGTTTTTCGTTTGTGTTAGAAAAAATAATAAAATGAAAAAAAGAAAGTGGGGGCCTGCATGTTGTTGAGCAAACAGGGGGGATGATGGTGAGCAAAATGAATAAGGGCCCATGCCAAGGGAAGCCCAGGCACGTTTGCTGGAAGTGAAACAAATAAAAAGTTAGAAAAAAAAAACAAAAGGGTTGCGCTGGGGGCTCGAACCTAGAACCCTCCATAGATATGCCTTACGCGCGTGCTTTCTGCCACTGGGGTGGATGTTTCATCCGGTTATAAAACATGTTACAATAAATTTAAAATAAATCAAGTCCTGACTATACTTCATCTTCTTCCTCGCGCCATAACCAGAACTCTGTAACTTTCTCATTTCTCAATCATTTCAGAAATTGTAAACATCAAACTTGTTAGAAATTTCATCACGATTTCAAATAGGTAAATAACTTAAACTATGGATCAAAGATGAACACGAATTTTGCTTGGTACCAAATTCTGATCTAATTTTTCAAGAAGTTCAAATTCAAAATTCACATCACTCAGGCAATATAAATGAATTATAAGGACATGGTTAGTTTCAGGGCTATGATGTCTACATTTTATCTTTTAAAATGGAAGCCAAATGATGCTTGTATGAAGAGATAGAAGTTCAGAAAACTCACCTTGCATATGGAGACCGTGTTTTGAGTTTGAGCATACTTCAAGGTGTTGTAATGATCTAGTTAGCTTCACTGAACCTCCGGGAAGCTATTTCAATAGTTACTTTAAGCTGAGAGTTTCTGAATCGTGCTGGAGAAGTCAAAGTGCAAGGTACTGTTTTTGAAAATGGAGGATGGTGATGGAGGTGTTACAGTTGTGTAACAAATGTTTGGTTAGGTTCTAAATGATATAGAGATGCTTTGTGATTGATTTTGAGGAAGAACGCACAAATGATTTGTGAGATGGAGGTGCAATGCCAGAATCTGCACACAAATGGTGTTTTTAGGCAATTTATGACTTGAGGGAGTTTGGAAGAGTTTTCAGGCTTGCCAATTTGTGTGTTATCTTGCAAATAATTCCTCAATTTATAGGCAAAAGGTTTTGAAGCTTGAGGGGATCAGAATCAAGAGTTCACATGTTATGGCCATTTGACTTGTTTTTGAAGCAAGCTTGACAAGCATTGTTCCAAGGCAAGGTACAAGGCTTGTAAGGTGGCTAGAACCTTTAAACATGTTTGTTATGAACCTGTAGATGAAGCTTGTGCAGGAGGAACAAGTGCAAAGTTCAAGACAAGTTTACTTTGTGATTAAAGCAACTTTTCAAGAATGACAATGGTGCCTTTGTGCCATAAATGGAAATGCAACTTGGATAATGGCTCAAATGCTTGGACAATGGCTCTAACATTTGTGTAATCAATTAATTATGGAGTCAAATGCAAGTTGTATTCCTGCAAAGTGAGATTATGCAACATAGGTTAGGGTTTTGGTTATGTGTTCATCACCAAAATGACTTGTAATTCAAGAATGGATGCCCAACTTCTTGTCTTTGATTCTCTTAGCTCAAGCATGATCTCTTCAAGTTCTTAGACATTTTGGAAATCTTGGAATAGTATCTACAACCTTCCTGTTGATCATTTTGGATAAATCAACTTGGAACTAGGTGAAAAATTGCCAAGAAATTAGGGCAAAATCCTGAGTAAATTGGCCAAAACTTTCACTAAGTGTTTTATCAAAAAGTCATGACTTCATGGACTTATAACTCAAAATATAAGAATTTTTGGACATGAGACCTTGAATACAAAGTTGTAGAATTAATCAAGATCTACAATTTTCATGTTGGAAGTTTTCCTTGAATCATCTTGCATCTTGGTGAAAAATTGTCATGAAGTAATGAAATCATAAGGATATAAACACCTAGAATTTTTCTAACTCTTGAAAATTTTGACTTTTTGACTTTCTTGATTCTTGATGATCAAGCTTCATATTTTTGAATGTTTTTATGAATTTTGATATTTGAAACTCAATTTTGATTAAAAAAAGTCAAAGTTTGACTTTTGGTGTAACAGTTGACTTTTTCATCAGTTGATCAAATTTCAACTATCAATTGTTTGATCTTGAGAAATGATTTGAGCCATGAAATTAGGTCAAGATAATATGTTTGAATTCTTAAGATTATGTTTCAAACTATTAAGTCATGTATTAGGTAAAAAATCAGTCATTCTCAATCAAAACCCTAATTTTGACCATTTTGCCCCTTTGATGATTTGAATGTTTTTCTTGAGGAATTATGATCAAACCTTGATCATTTGATGAATATGACTTCAAAATATGTATATGGGCCAAAAATCTTGAAGTTTGATTGTAGGTTGACCACAATTGACTTTTTACCCAATACAACTAATTTTCAGTCATCTGATCAATGACTGGGCAAAATTGTGATCCAAGGCTTGAAACATGGCATGAGTATTTTTGGAGGTCTATAATGAACCATGAAACCCTAATTTGGGGTCTCAATGCTTAGGAGGTGATTTGACCTAGTCAACATTTGTGCAATCTTGAGCCATTGAAGATCTTTGTGAGAAATGTCTTGAGAAAAGGGAGAACAAATTTTGGGGTACAACAACTGCCCCTGTTCAATCTTATTA